GTTATGTATATTTTACATTAACTGAGAAAAAATAAAGGCAAAAACCTTAATGTTTATGCTTATAAACATTAAGGAATGGAGTGCTAATAACTAACAGCAAACATTACAATAGTTTTGGATCTTGCCCAAGGCTCAGGCTCTGTGATTTGCTTCTGTGACACTTTGTAAATATTTGGGTTTAATATAAAAGTCTATATTCAAATGTGATGACTGTTTTGCACATAACCTGGTTAATCCTGTGTAGATGAAAACATACCTGCCTAATGACTGCATTTATCACTTCATGTGGTTTTTCTCATCTTGTCATCTTTAGACTAGACCTAGTGCCTGCTTTACAGAAACGTTGTTATTGATTTATGTCAGTAGAGATTAGCAATGAGACTGAACTGACACTGACTAAAGCACTTTGAAAATCTCTCTCTCTAGAGATCTAAACCTCACTCTCACTGATTTGATACAGCAAAGCACCTGTCCTTGCAAGGTAGCTGCAGCATCCTGGTACCATTGCACAACCCCAAATTAAAGTTGCTGAAGAAGGTCTGTCTCATCTAAAGAGTATAGACAGCTTCTTAAAGAGAAGAAACACAGCTTCTTTACAGTGGGACCTTTCTGAATTTCACTCCTAGCTCAAAAACAGCAGATGTGTCTGCTGTGTTATTGAGCATCTTACAAATATTTGTCCCTCAAATACATATGGGTGTGTAGTTTTACTGCTTATTATCTTGGATTAGTTCAGGCAGATCCATACTAAGTCTTATCCAGTATGGATGCACTTTGGTATTTTGCCCTGCTGTCAGGTTGGAAAATGTTCTTGGGTTGGTGGTGGTTCTGGTTTTTTTTTTTTTTGGCTTTTTAAATTACAGTGTCCTGAATGTGGTACTTGTTTAAGAATGCAAAACAGGATTCAGAGAATATAATTTTCAGTTGCTGCATGCTTTATGTAGCTTTATTTGTAAATAAACTGCAGTAATCATTTAAGTCCTGTTGAATTGCTCCTACCTAAAGTATCTGATTGCATTTTTACTGTCTGCACTTATAAAACTTGAGCTTTTCACCTTAATGCAGTTCCTTTGGAGATCTTAATAAAGGCTCAAGCACTAGATCAAATTAAAAGATGAATTCAGTACAACTGGCAAAAAAAGCAAAGGCTGACAGTAAACTTATCTATTTCAGAAGTGCCCCTGTTAGCCTCTATGTGCCCGGTCTGGCTTGCTTGTTGGCAGACTTCCTCCTGCCCTGAGCCTTCCTGAGGGCTCTGTGAGCTGGTGCTGTGACATGTACAAAGTACAGCTGTCCCAGTTCTGCCCATGATGCAAAAATAGCCATGTATGATGACAAAAGTATGTGCTGGTGCGGTGATGTGACCAAAGGACAGGGTAGTAGCTCATGACAGGAGCCACACACTTGAATGCCCTCTGTCCCTCAGCAGCGTTCATGGCTGGTGGTGCAGCTGGGTGGTGATAAGAGGTCACAACACGCAGCTCTGGAGTGGCTCACAGAGAGTCCCATGTCTCACCACTGCGTTGTTCTGAGCACGGCTGTCTTCTGAGGACTATGAAGTCAGTGCTTTAACAGAGCTGCTGTTCATTTGTTCAAACCTCCTCTGACCTCCATAGGTTGTTTCCTCTTCTGATCACCTCATGAGTGTTTGGTGGAAACTGTGAGTCTGCTGGTGAAAGGAATTGTTGTATTCTGCTTCTCCTGTACACTTAATCTGTAAAAGGGAAAATCAATTTCTCTGTTAGTGTCACTATTTTTAACATGGAATTTTCAGTAAAATGAAGGCTCATGGTGTAGTTAATATATTGCTTTCTCTCTTTCATAGGCTGAACAACTGATTGAGAGACTGCAAAATGAAGATGCTGCCAGCTGAAATCTTGTGTTGTCAGCCAGTTTGGTCTTTGAGCTCTGCTTTAAGGTTGCTTGTTGCTGATAGTATCCCAGGATAAAAAAAAAAAGCTTTAGTTCCTTATGAGGAAATACACACAGAATTTGTAGCTGCTAACTTATTTCTTCCATTTGGATATGTCAGTCTGTATACTTCCCTGGCAATAGCAGAATGTATTTTAGTTAAAATTTTAATTTAATTTGTGTATACACACACATACACACAGGCAGAGAGCTCTTCTATTAAAAGGCAAAGTGTAGCAGCAGAGTGTATTGCAACCAAGGCAACAAGTTACAAGTAATGGCATATGAATGGTACCAAAGTGAGTATTTACTGCAGAATCAAGCTTTCATTTTCAAGATGCATTGTTCTGGATTGCAGGTAACATTTCAAACATTTGTTCCCACCTGCATATGTATGATGTGTTACTTATGCCTAGTGATGAGTAGGTACATTGCTGAAAGTACAGTAATGACTTTCTGGTACAAAACCACTTACCTGACTTGCTTGCATCACAGTGACACATTAAACATGAATACAGTATGTGCCCAAAATATGATAATGCTGTATAACACAGAAGATAGTTTATGTGTAAATAGACCTAAAGATTTTCTTTCTCTCTTATGTGCACAATGTTTGAAATTAGCTACTGTATGTTTACAAAGAATGTGAAGAGTGCAAAAGAATGGTTTTAATATACTGCTCTTCTGCATGGCAGTAGATAGAAAAGTCTAGATTTTCTGGTCTTATTCTCACCGCAAGTCCCTTGCAGATTACTATGCCTTGGCTAAATTTGGATTATAAATGAAGTCATAAGAGAAGCCAGTCTGAACTGCAGTGTGTGTGACAGACTTACATAAGAGCAATGTGATTTGACTTTGGGATAGCAGGGACTCAGCCCAAAATTGGAACATGCCAAGTTGCTTAAGGAACCCTGAACATTTGCCTTTGCTGCATGACTCTGATCAGGAATGCTAGCACTTGTTTTTCAGTACCATAATAAGGCAGACTGTTTGGCAAGTTAAAACACCAGAACACATGGAGTGGATTTTCTTTGTTCATAGAGCTTGTCTTGGTGCCGAACTAACCAAGTGCCCTTGCCTAATGCATTCAGATGCAGCTGAGGTGAGAACATCTGTTGCACCTGCAAGCTTCCCTGAACATAACAGTCTGGTATGTTTTCCATGGATCCAGCACCTGTTGCCTTAGTGATACAATGTGTTGTAATATTCTTACAGTACTTCAGAGAGTCTGCACCCTTCTGAAGAACTGCATTTTCTACCTGTCAGAGTTTACACCTCTCTGTCTGTAAGATCTTCTTAATGTCTTGTTGTATATAATAGTAAGATCTTCCTAATGTCTTGTTGTATATAATAGTGGGCACTTGCATGTTATTTGCAGCCCTTCAGGGTTTTAATTTGTTACATTTGGTAGGAAAAGTGTGACTTAAAGCCACCGAACTTTGTGCAATAGATGAAGCAGTTTGAGCTGGCTACTAACTTAGTGAAATACCTATACATTAAGGACTTTCAAGAGTTAATACTGTGTATGTGTTCTGATCTGTAATTAATTTATGTAAGTGTACTGAACTGTGACATGTAATATTTAAAATATCAACATGAACTGTTGTCAGAAAGGATTAATAAATGCTAATCTTGGGGTGATTTTCCAGTGCAATGGAATAGTTGACTGTAAAGGTTGACTCTAGATAGCCTTTTGCTCACTCTTCATCCCTTAACCCAGTGGGGTGGGAGAAAAGAAAGAACAAAATGAAAAAACTCATGGGTTGAGGTAAAGATAGTTTAGTATGTGAAGGAAAGAGGAAGAATAAAGCAAAGGTAATCACTCATGACCTCCCAGAGGCCAGCCAGTAGCAATGGCCCCCCACCCCTTCTGAAGAAAGAAGCCCTTTCTTCAGCTTTTATTCCAGACATTATATATAATGGAATATCCCTGCTGGCCAGTCTGTGTCAGGTGTGCAGGTTGTGCTCTCTTCAAGCTTTTTGCCCACTGAGGGTGGGCAGAGCAGGAGAAAGAAAGCCCTGACATTGTCCATGCACTGCTCAGCAATCACCAGAACTGCTGTGTTACAAACACTTCCGGCCACACCCAAAATCTGGGATGCTCTGAAGGAAGTTACCTCCATCCCAGCCAGACTCTGTATGTTGCCAAATGTATATGAAAGCACAAAGGCCAACTTTTATGTCTTAATTTTGGAGAAGGGCCCCACTAATGACAAGACTGGAAAGGTAAAAATTTGGGTATAATGTCACTTCCAGAGTTTTGCTGATGAGAAAGATGGGGATATCCTGTGTTCCCTGACAGCAACAGACAGGGCTCAGGACAGCTGAAACAGCAAAGCACTAAACAGAGGCACAATAATTACCGAGAGGAACGCTCAGCCTCTCGTTAGTGTTTTTCAGCACAGAACTGTGGTCTGTTTTCCTTCTGCATTGACAAGCATTCTTGGACTCTGAAGATAATTGTTTTAATTAGGTGAAGAAATACTTTCTGAAAAACCTAACCTAATACTTCCAATATGTTACTGAATTACTGGCTAGCTCCTGAAAGAGACAGTGGGCAGATCCTATTAACTTTGTCACTGTCTTCTATAGAAGTTTTTTGTAATTCTAAAACTTCAGAAATCATCTCTAGAGCTTTCTAAGGAGCAAAGATCAATAAGGAGCATGAACTCAGCAGTTCTTATTCTCCAAGAGCTGGGAGAAGCAAAGCAAAGTGGTTTAGCCACTGTTGCTGGCTCTGTTCTTTGATCCAGTATTAGCAGCCTCGAGAAAAGCTGCTTTTTTGACCTCATGTTTAGACAAAGCTTTATTTGTACTGTTTTGCTCACTCGTTTTACATAAACTCCCAACCTAACACAAACCCAGAGAATAATGCTTTTATGGTGAAAGGATGAAAAAGATACACCTAAAATGCTGTTAAATATAAAAAGAAATTGTGCTTAAACTGGTAATAATGCCTTTGACTACTCCAAAGTCTTTTTAAGTGTGAGTTGTAAATAAAAATAGGAGAATGGGAGCAAACCAGTGAAAATGGTCTTTGAAATCTGAAAAACTTGTAAACAATAAAATGCTGCATAAAAACTCTTGTAATTTCAAACTAATGTGCAATATTTATTGAAATGGTGACAGTGCCTTCAGTGTTTGGCAAAACAAACCACAGATAATCCGTATATGATATACAGTCCAAAACAGATGCAGAGTTTACAGACTTCAGGTGGAAGGAGGGCAAACACCACTGAGGTAATCTGTCACAAAGTGAAGTTTAGGAGAGATTTAAACAGCTGAAAGATGCTTAGTAGGGCAAGAACACCTTTTAAAAAGGTTGGGGTTTACTTACTACTCCAAATAATCTGTAATACTAAAACCTGTCACATGCTACAATTTTTGCAAAAACAATAAATTCTGTTCCATTTACTCTAATGGGAGCCTGCTGAAAAAATAAACTTGCATGTTGAAAAGTTTAAATTCCTATTTCATCTGTAGATGTTAATCTAATCACAGATAATGCATAATTTTGTAAAACTGGCAGCTAAACTGAGTCGTGTGTTAGATATAATGCATTCATGACTATACAGGCTTTAGGAGTAATTTTTTATTCTAGTGTACCAGTGGGCAAGCTGACCAGTTCTATTATCTATCTTTTAGTCTTTTTTTTTTAAATACTGGCTATTGCTGGAAGCACAAGCCTGGATTTGTCAACCTGTGTGCTGAGCCAGTTTGGCAGCTCGGTGTTTATAATCATTGCATGGGCACACAGAAAGATTTCAGTCCCATTTTCCAGAATGCTCATCTAAAGCTGGCAGGTTGGAAACATAGCTCTGTAACTTAAAAAAAATCCCTCTATAAATAATAGTTTTTTTATATAGTAATCCTTGGTTCTATTAAGAATAAAATAATAGAGCAAGCTTTTATTTAGTTGCTTATAAAGTAGGTAAGACCATGTCATTAAGGGTTTGCTCTGCTTCTGTTTTGATCAGAGGTGTACTTAAAGTGCTTGTAGATGTGCTCAAGCATGTACCACTTACATGGCAGTGACAGCCTGGATTGCTGATATTTAACTATTTGAGCCAGCCTTAATTAAAATGTAGTAAATTTATGTGAGCTGAACTTGCATCTTATGATGCTCAGGCTATGTACTACCTCACATGCGTGTCTTGCAATGAATTATTTGTACAAGGTCCAACATTAGATTATTATTGTATTATTTTTCCTGATAGTGCCATTCCATTAGTCAGTTGGTGATGCTTGAAATGCCTGATGCTGCTTCCTGCAAGTTATTGAGCTAACACTACAGCAGAACTGAGAGAATTTAAGAATTGTTAGAATTAAACAAAATTCATTCCATATCTGCACTATAAAAAGCTCAATTCGTATTGAAATCTGAATGCATGTAAAGACTTCCTCTAACAGGAGCTGAAATACCCTGAGAGGTGTGCTCATATCATTTGGCAAGAAATGTTTTTCCAAAAAGAACAAAGCATTTTAAATATGTTAAGATCACAAACTACATGTCCTCTTTTTCAGCTGCAAGATGTAGATCTGTTTAGAAAGAAGCAGTAGGTTTGAAACCTAAGGGAGCACACCAACAGTGCCTGGTGCAGCACATATTCCCCCTTTTCCTATGGGGTAAAATTATGTGGTGATTAAAATCCATTCTCTACCTGCATCTAACTGTCCTGTTCCCCAGATATACTTATTTCAGCACATTAATTTATTCCTTTTTTTTCCTCTTTTCATTGTCCTTTCACCAGAAAAAGAAAAAAGGAGGCAGGAAAATAATGAAATCCTCAGCCAAAGACTTAGTTTGATTCAAATCCCCATTGGATGAAAATATCAAAACAAAACCCCATTCTTTTAGGCTTTTTGCAACAGAAGTTCTTTTATATAAATAGCATAAAATTACACATCACTTTTATCAAGTTCCTAATTTATATTAAATTTTGATATCCTTTTTATGCAAGAACAGTATCTTAAAGACCCATCAAGTAGTATAGTTAATACCACACAGAATTTGCACTGCTAAAAATTAGAACTTTAGATTCTAATTATACAGCTTTATTGGTGGGAACTATTGTAAATACAGCTTCAGGTTACTTTTCATAGCACTATTACAACTATGTTATATAACCAATCCTTTATTTTTCTTTCTGAAGAGCTCACAGCTGTGCTCTGAAAGCAGGTAAATGAGGTATGGGACTGTGCTGCTATATGCAGTTGGTACTATAGTATCTCTCCTCTTGTGAAAAATATTGCTACATTTTGGTGAAAGAAGAGCCTTTTTTTCCCTTATGAATGCACAGGTGCCCCAATACAGAGAATCTGCTGACTTTTGCATCTTTACATTGTGGCACCCTACCTTCTCTGAAGGGATATGGCTGAATTCACCAAAAAGAGCTTTGCAGAGCTTTGTGGACTTCTGAAGCATTAGAAGAACAGAAAAGGTAAAAATGGTGTGAGATATAAAGCAAAAATAATAAGAGACACAGAAGGTTTGGAGAAGATATGATTGTAAGATTAGACTATTAAATACCAGAATCAGTGCAGCTGTCCAAAATCCAAGCAAGATGCAACTAATTTAGGAATCATGAAGTATCCTTGCTGTGATATTTTTGTAAGTTTGGGAATTTCTATCTACTTCATGAAAATAACTTCCATTTATTCAGTTTAACCATGTGAGATTGAACCTAAAATTTTGCTATATACCAGGCTCTTTGTTTGAAGAAGTATATGAATTCCCTCAAGAGTTTTCAATTCCACATTCTACAAATCCCATTCTCCCACACAGTAAGTATTTCACAACCTGCAGCAATCAGTGGTGTAGGATAGCAAGTTAGTAATTTGTACTTTCAGCAACGTAGAAGCAGCAGGCCAGCAGTTATTTGAAGAACTCGCATATACTTGCTAGTAGATGATAATAAGGACAATCCAATGTCAGCATGATGGAGTAGCTCATAATCTGTGATTTCTGTTCAAATCTCTACCATTTTTATAAAAATATCCTTCTCACCCATTTCCTCTCCTGCTTGTGTCCCAGTAGGTAGCTGAGTTGAAATTCTGTAACCAAAACCTGTGAAGATGGTATCTAGATGTTTTTCCAAATGGAACCATACAGCAAAGTTCATTCCAGGACAAAGCCTTATTGTAGTAAAGTGATGACCACATCATCATCTTTTCCTTGCCAAAGCATTTCTCCTTCAAAATTAACCAGACCGTGTTTTCTGGCTCTTAACAAGATTCCCACTACTTTATTGGAAATAGTCACATATGTTTCAAACAGCTGCCCGAATGTCACTCGCACGTGTCCATCTTCTCCCACCTCTCCAGTTCTTCGGATGATCAAGCACAGCTCTTCTACTTCCTTACCCACGTGTGAGTGAGCATCTTTCCCTCTCTGCTCTGTCCGAGACCCTTCAGGGGGTCTCCCGTAGGTAGGATCTCCTTTGTGAGTATGTGCGGGTTTAGACACAAGCCTGTCATCACTGCTGAACGGATTCTTCCTCTGATACTCAATGTGATCCTCTGCCCAGGTCTGCCAACTTTTCCTCAGGTCACCCACTGCACTGGTAGCTTTAGCAGTTTGAGCCTTTTCTCCTTCCATTTCTGAAAATGTTTTATGGCACTCAAGCAGCAAACGAATCGGTGACCGCCTGTAACTGTCGTTCCTGTGTGCACTGTCAGCTGTGAAGGAAGAACAACAAGTCAGCCTGGAATTTTTTGGAAGAGTTTTGCCCGAGTGAGAGGCCAGGCTGCTGAAAGATAGGTTAAATATCTGAAAAATTTAAGTCCATTAATAATTCAACAGCAATGAAGAAAGTAGAAGTGATTCAGGTGAAATTCAGAAGTAATTTAGGAACACCGGGTAGTAAATTGCGCTTACAAGATTACACGGTGCTCCACTGATCCCGCAGTTCCCGAACAAAGCCCGCAGCCTCCGTGCAACGCATAGTGCAGTACTCACTCCTCGTGCAGTGACGACTTTCCAAGAACTTTATCCTGGTACCCGGCAGCCTCGCTGACTTCCCAAACAATCTGATGGAGTGCTGGCTGAGCTGCGGAGAGAGCAAACCATTCCCGAGCGGCAGCAGCGGCACACCAACCCGTGCACAGGGGTGGGAAGCCGCCCTCAGGCCTGAACGCTGATTAAAGGTGGACAAATTCACGCCGTGCCGACAAGGTTCCCTCAGACTGGGCAAGTTATTATACACAGAAAATATTATCTGGAGCCGAAACGCCAATACATGGTGGGAGTAGGGGGATTTTCCTCATCAGGCACTGCACGGAGAAGTAAAAACCCAGTTAGCGAGCGCGTCTCTGTCTGCAGCACCCTATTTAGTGAAGGAGACAAAGGCAGAATAGATTGTTCTCCCTTAAAAGGCTGTGCTGCACGGCCATGGCTGCCGGCTACAGCCGCGGGGGCATGCGGACTGCCCGCCGCCTGTGGCAGTGCATGCTCTTGGGGTATGGACTGTCTGTGAAGAACATGGTTATTCAGGTGAATTACAGACAAATTTTTATATCCCTACAGAGATCCGAAGGTGCTATAGCCATGTCTTTGCTGGATCGTATGGTTCACCTGTCGAAGTACGCAAGCCGGGGTTTCCAGGTAGCACATAAGTAGAGTTGATACTTCTACCGACATTTGAAGTTAAAACACAGGATTAGTGCTGGATTTTCTACGGGGAAGTGGACAGAAATGCAAATTCAGAACAGTTAACAGCTGAATTACAGATTGGGTATTTCTGTATTTTGGAACTATTGTTGTTTTAAAAGTAAGTCTTCATGGGCATTTGCCTACGTACATATGCTGGTGCTGTTGCACGTGAACCCATGAGCAGGGGCAGGATTCCTTAAATTCCCTAGCAGAACCTCCATATCAGTCAAAAACCACTTGTGTTGCCTCTGGGTCTAGAAGAGCACACAAGATGAACATAGAGTGGCAGCACAATCGCCAGAGAAAGGAATTCGGAATGGTAAGCAACAGTGCACATGAAATAATGGCTTTTCATTCATGGTCTCTCACTTTTTAAATTGAGACTCATGATTGTTGTATATTACCATTGTTATATTTTTTTGTGAGAGGAAGGTGGTTAATTCTAGTTTCCTGGTTAAATTTCAAGTTGAGTAATTACACTTTGTATATATAAAATTCCCCTGAAGGCTAAAAAGTGTAAATTTTTTTCCTTTCCCTCCCTAGAAGAGTTAAGAGTTATGTAATGCTTTTAAGATGACTCCCCACATCCACTCTAACAAACTGCTTGATTCTCCTCAGTGGCATTACAGGAATGTATGTTCTGTTTCCAAACACAGCATCTGAAAAGCATTTTGTTTTTATGTGAGAACCAAATACTCCGTAAATCTTAGTAATGTACATCCACTTTCAAACTAAGTAGAGCAACATGCATACACTGCCAGAGATTATGCATGGATCCTCAAGTCAAAAGCAAGAAAAAACTAGGGCTTTTGTTAAAGTCTTCTGTAGGAAACAGTATCAGGTTTCACAGGTAACAGGTATTCACCTCAAGAGAACAGGCAACAATGCCCCGAAGGTAAAGCAGTGCAGATAAAGTAAGCAAAAGCCAGTTTCAAAGAGATTAAGCTTAAAAATAATACCAACAACCCCTTCTAAGGAGTTTCTAAAATGGAAGCAATACAGCTAAGAAATTTAAAGTGAGACAGATTGGAAAAATAAAAGCGTACTTCTTCCACTAAAACTCTCTCAGCAATTCCAAGATTTTGTAAGCAACCTCAGACTCAGCAGTTTGTCAGCAGTTCAACAATGTGTTTGTTGCTGTGTCTCAGTATTCAACTACTGAGGTGAACAAGCTGGACCCACATCTACCTCTTTTCTTTCTCTTCTAGGAAAGCTCACGTTTAGGTACCAGGTCGCTTTAGATTACTTTCTTGTCAATCATCAGGGCTAAAGCTTCACAGTAAACTCAGTTTTGATTACTGCAGGAAGGGATAACTGGAGAAGCTCCAGGATGAGATTATGGAGATGCATCGAGAAGGTGTCCCGTGCAGTGCTCACAAGTCATGAGCAAAATCTTAGCCATCTAGAAAAAAACCCCCAAAACTGAAAAAGACCCAAAAAACCAAACCCACAAACCTAACATCAGCACATAAAACATAGAACATGGGTTCAGTGCTGAGCTGGCCTGGTCCTAATGAACAGTTTACCAAAATCTGGCTAAGATGAACCTTTCAGGTCAACACAACAGGAAGACCAGTGAGTACGGGATTACAATTACCAAGACTAGATATTAAAATAAAGCATAATCCGCAAGACAAACCCCTTTTTGCCCCTCTGCCGGACCGTCACACCTCTGCCCCTTTCCTGGGAATGTTTCTCTACCTGCTGCGACACCCACGCCGCCGGCACTGACCTCCTTCCCACGGAAAAAGGAATGCGACTCCTTTGGCATCTGTTAATTCTTAATGTTATTTAATGCTCCAGATCCTTAAATGTGGCCGGGAGAGGCCGCAGCGCGCCCCAGACAGTGAAACACCCCTGAGCGAGCGTGTCCCCAGTGTACACGGAGCTATTTATAAACCACACGCAGGCACTGCTGCAATGACACGTGGCGTGCGCGATAAAGCACAACCAAAATATAACTACAAGGAGGATGAAAATGAGATAAAATAAACAGTAACTTCCGAAGAGTTCGCGCACCCCGCGTCCCGCTCCGGGAGGCGCTGGGGTCTCTCCGTCACCCGCCCCTTCCCGGGCTCCTCCCGCCGCTCCCGCCCTGCCGGCAGCGCATGCGGGAGGCGGGGATGGCCGGACATGGCGCTGCCAGCGCCGCCGCTACGGCGCTACTTGCTGCTGCTGGCGCAGGAGCACCTCGAGTTCCGCCTGCCGGTGAGCGCTGCCTGGGGCCGGGACCGGGGCCACGACCGCGGCTGGCGGCGGGCCCGGGCGAGGCGCTGCCCTCCCGTCCCCTCCCGTCCCCTCCCGACCCCAGCCGGGGTCTTCCTCTGCCCGGGAGAGCGGCCGGCGCCTCTTCTCTGGCCGCATCCTGTGGGCAGGGACCCCCGGCTCCCTGCTCCCCTCCTGCCCCAGGCTCTTGGAGAGCCTCCGCGTGGTGGCTTTGAGGCAGCACTTTCCTAGCCGCTCGCTTTTCCAGAGCCTCTGGCGCTAGGAGAGGTTGCCAGCACAGTACCCGCGGCTCCGTGTGAGAAGCGGAAGTTGGGGTTATAAAAATGCTTTCAAGGTTTTGGTGACTAATTTTGAAGTTTGTTTAAGTTATTCGTCAGCTCCCGGCAGCGTGCCCTGGGTGCAGGAGTGGCTGGTGCTGCCCTGGGCCGCTCTCGATGGACTGCCCAGGGAGCTGCTGGGGTCACCGTCCCTGCAGGCGTTCAGAAGGGGACTGGATGTGGCACTCAGTGCCATGGTCTGTGCCACAGGGTGATGTTCCCTTGTCGATTGGACTGTTACATATTACAAAGTGCTTAATGTCTCTTGAAGTTTTTATTTTCATTGTTTTCATTAATTCCTATTTGCTTTGTGAGACTAGAACATGAGTTTCATTTATGATCAACCTGATTTTTCTTTAGGCAAGGTCATCAGATGAAGTAAAAAGGAGATGATACATATGCAACACAGAAAGTTTTTCTTTATATCACCAAAGTTTTGATGACACTTGGTTGATATAGCTGCTGAAAGAAGCGGAGCCATTTCTCTTTTATTTTAGTGACTGCTCAGCTTATTTGGTTTTGTGATGAGCTATGCTAGGAACATCATTTGTCAAAAACCTAATGGAGCAAGCAAGGACAGATTGTTTTTAGCCAGATGATCTGCTGGTCCTGACCCTGGATCAGTGTTACTAGTGAAGCATCACTTTTATGTGAAATAGTTAGAAAAATATTTTAAGAAGAGAATGAATAATATTGTAAGAGGAATGTTGTTGTGACAGTGGAGGATTGAACAGTAAAGATTCTGAAGAAGGAGAATATGCGAAATGGTGGGGTTTAATTACTGAAATTGTCCTGACATTCGCCAATGAATTTTGAGAAAGCTGTTTTTAATAGCAGGGAAGTCTTAATTTTCAGTTCACAAATAGTACATACAATCTGAATTTACTTGTGAACTTCTGCCCTATCTACCATCTGCATTAGAATTTGTGTCATGCTGCTTCTCTTTTCTCTTTTTCCCTTTTCCTTTTCTTCTTTATAAGATTCTAAAGTCTGACCTGTATATTTTCACTTTAGGAAATAGCATCATTGCTCTCCCTTTGTGGTGGACAATTCAGTGGCGAGCAGGAAATTCGTGTAAATGTAAGTAAGGACCAAATATTTTACTTGTGTGTGTATGGTATGCAAGTATGTTCTTTATAGTATTTTTGTTAACTGTAGGCAGCTAAATAAATATTGAAGTTTCTTAAGAAAATCGGGAATCTTACCCAAACTGAGGACTTCTCAATTTCAGTAAAGACTCAGAACTAGAAAAAAAGATGCACAAAATGTACCTCAGGTTGTCTTCATTTACCAGCACGAAAAGAAGCAGTGCCATCTGCTGTGAGGCTCTTCTTGCTTTTTTGGGTAGCTAAACCCTTAAAACACTCAGCAGCAGTTTGGAATTGGTGTTTGCCTCTAAATCACTGAGACAGAGGAGGAGTGCAGTTAGGAAGCCATATGATTCTGGTCTCAGTCCTTGAACAGAGAATGTTTTTGGGATTTAGTTACTGCTTGTGTGTAATGAGGTGTTTCCAGCCTTCCAGTCAATTATATTGGAAAAATTAAATACATAACAGAATTTCTCAGACATTCAAGCTGAGTAAACAGTTTTGTCTCAGATTAATTATTTTATCCCCACATTCTCTGTATGATTAAAGATAGCAGATGTATTTTTTATTAATTTTTAAAGTCTTCAGTATGCATGTTCTGTTTTTTAAAACAGAATTGTGTAGTTGTGTAATTCATGTGACATTCTGCAGCTGGGTATTTGCATCACTTACCTTCTCTTTATTGCAGTCTCCCTTTTGGATTCTCAATATTCCTTCAGAAGAGATGGCAAGGGGACTAATGAAGCGGACAGTATGTGCAAAGTAAGAGATGAAAAATCTTGTAAATAATAACCTAAGCAGTGGAATTTTGTTCTATTATTGCAAATATAAATTTTGTATGGCATCATAAAGAGTCTCTGATTCCCTCTAGTATTGGTAAGGTGTTGCTGTAGCATGCCTGTCTGTCATCTTTACTCAGTGTATGATCAATTCTGGGTCTCAAAATGGTGTTCTTCACTTCAGAGACAGCACTTGTAGTGTCACTCATGTTTTATGTGCCTTGTATAATGTTGAGTTAGTGACTTTTTCTAAAATATGTATGGAATTGAAAGATACAACCAGTGATATGTGAAAACTGACAATTATGGAAGGGAAAGTTTGAGTCATCCCCCCTCAGTCCTGGCATCCAAGCCTTCAGCCCTGACTGCTGCAGCAGAGGTCCCTTCTAGGAAATTCAAGAGCACAAGAATATGCTGGAGAGTGATTGTTCCAGCTGGTCCTTTTTAGTGGTGTCTGAATAACATGCTTCCTAGTGAGGTGCATGAGAGAGGCCTTGAAGTATGGTTCAGGATGAGAAGCAGCATAGGTGTTTTATGTCCCTCTGACCATATTAAGCTTGTGGTGTCTGTGCTTGTTCTTCAGAGCTTCAGGTGTCCTCTGCAAAACGTTGCACAGTCCCTGTTGAGTACTTGTTGTCTCAGGTATTCAGTTTTACCTACAATAACTTGGGCTCTCCGCTCTTGCCTAAAGAATGGAGCACTGCACTTCAAAAAGCAGCTGCAGGCAACTAGGGGAGTGAAATGTGACAAAACAGCTTGCAGATGTTCTGCACACCATGCACTCTCAGCTAATGTATGCTAATTCTATGTACAAAGCCTAACTAGCCCATGGCTTATGTTTCTGTCCTACTGCTGGTTGTGGGGAGATGTGTTAGTTTTAGAATAAGGTCACTGGAGTACCTCCGTTGCACTGCTAATCAATGTGAAAATCTCTGAAGCTTTTGGTATGTGTTACCAAACAAAGAAAAACATCAGTGAAATATCAGCCTGTGATTAAAAATATTTGTTACAAACAAAAACTACAACATTTGTCTAGAATTAAATGCCAACTTTAATGAATGAATTAAAGCCTAAATACATTGGCCAAGTAAGTTAAAAGGAGTAAGTGTCTGTAAGGCGTTTTCCCTGCTCTGTGTGACTGACTCTAAAAAACTTTGTAATTTCAGGTCTATATTTGAACTGTGGGGCCATGGAAAATCTGCAGGGGAGCTCTATGCATCTTTGAAGAACTATCCAACAGACAAGATGGTATACATATAAAGAATCTGGATACTATGGTTCCTTAAGCCCACTGAATAGCACTGCATCTGTACTAATTAAAGTGTCTTTGCCTTTTCTTTTTTTCTTCCAGCTTCCATATCTACAGTCAGACTCTACTTACAAAGTCCACATTCATACATTTAATAAAACACTGACCCAAGCACAGAAAATAAAAAAGATTGATGTAAGTAGATGGTTAAGAAATCTTTGTTTAGTTTAATCTATTCATGTTATTCTTATTCCATGCTGTCAGTGTATTTAAGTTTCTTCAAGATCTTAAGGAAGTGTATGGCTCATGTCTTATCAGGTCTAAATGAGATTTTTATGTCTGAATTAACATTCGCTCAAAATTCATGACTTTTTTTTCCCCCTTATAAACAGACTGTTTAAGGCTTATACAATACCAAACAAATATCACTGCTGATTTCTGCCCAGTGTGCTGGGGAAATTGAAGCTTACTGCTGAGAACTACAAGATTCAAATGGCAAGAGTTAGGTGCTAGATTTTTGGAAAATCTGTTACTTGATCTCCGTATTAGGGTTTTATTGTTGCAGAATGTGGAACAAGTGACTTCAGCTGCAAGCTGTGGATTGTGTGCTGATCTCCTGTTCTGTCATCATGTTCTTATCTGTACTTGTGCTCTCCTCCTAACTTTATCAGTATTTCATTTAGGAAATTTTCCAAATTATTGTTTATTTCTGCTCTTTCACATTATATTTTGGCACCTATTTGTTCAATTTACTTCACTTACAGAGACTGAAATTATCTGTATAAGTCATAGCTTTTTTCGCTGTTTGTTCAGTTTTTGTGTAAATGAAATAATACTAAGTATGTAAACTGCTGTAGCTGCACATCACTGAAATTTCACGTCCCATTATTCATCATCAGTGTTGTTTCTATAACTTGAAAATTGTATAATTAATATGCACAGTTAATTTCCTCTGAAGTTGAGCTCTGTTCAGTTAATAAAAAGTGTTATGGGTCCAAATTCCAAACCGTAATAATTTGAGCTATTTTTGTTAAGAAGAAAGCAATTTCAAAAAACCATTGAAAATTGAACTTGTTAATACTAGTATTAACAAGTGAAATTTCTCACAAGTGAAGTTGTGGGTTTTCTGCTGATTTTTTGGTTGGTTGGTTTTGTTATTTTTTTCTTGGGGAGGATGGTACCTATTAAAAAAAAAAATAGACCCTGTTTATTTTTGTATGTTTTCTTTATTGTATAGGCCCTTGAATTTCTGCCATTCAGAGGAAAAGTAAATTTAAAGAATCCAGAACACATATTTTGGATTTTGGAAGATTACGGAATGAACCCAAACGATGTTCCAGAAGAGCCTATTCATCTGTATTTTGGTAGATGGGTGCGTAAGCATGTTTGCTTC